ATTATTATTATTATTATTATTATTATTATTATTATTATTATTATTATAATAAAAACCATCATCTGCCTATCTCAGTTCTTGGACTTGATAGGTGGAAAAAAATGCCAAATCCAGTCTAAACTCCTGGCTGACCATGTGAACAACAACAATAACAACTCAGAATTATTTCCTAAAATTTAGATTTAAAAAAAGAAATAGCTTATGTGCTATTATCAACTTGCCTACTCTATTTTTTGCCCCCTAAAACAGTTTTATGGTAATTCTGGTCATTTTTTGACACCAAAAGGTTTTCTGCCCTGTCAGTCCTTTGAGATGGATCAGACTGGGAAACCATTATGTACATATTAACACCAGTTTTATTGTAGGGCTATTGTAACAGAATCTGGCAGGTAGGAATGTGCTTCCCCCCTCCCTGCTGGTGGGGGGGATCAAGTCTGAGACAATTTCTCAAATTACATCTTTTCTTTGGATTCAGATTTCATTTATCTGACTGTCTTGGTTGCCATTTCTGTTTCTCAAGGTTAGTCTCCCTGCCCATTACATGACTTGTCACAATTTATGAAATCTATGATATCCCCCAGTTCCTAGGGATTAGCTTCACTGATTCAATAAATACACGTAATCCTAGTCCCATGATGGTGAACCTATGGCACCTGTGCAATCAGTGGCATGCAGAGCCATTTGTGAGGGCATGCGAGCCATAGGCAAATTTACCTCACTGCACATGCGCACGCCTCACAGCTGATTTTCAACTGGTTTAAGGCCTTTTTCTGCCTCCCAGAGGCTTGGAAAAAAGCCTCTGCAGGCCAAATAATAGGCCCATTTCATCACTTCCTGTAAACACCGAAAAAGGCCTCAAACCGACTGAAAATTAGCTGTGAAGCGCAGTGCAGGTAAGGGAATAATGGCTGGGGGATTGCACGCGCATGTGCAGGGGGCTTGGGGGCCCACATGCATTGTCTTCTGAATCACACGCACAATTTTTGCCACAGGAGCCCCAAAAGGTTAGCCACCACTGTCATAGACATGATCATTATTGAGCTTGCCCATAACATTAAGCAGTGTTTTAATGAAAATTCATTCTGGAAATTTTTGAAGCACAGTCCTAGGAGAGATTTACTATTTTCAATAAATGTATATATAAATTCAAATTTTAAAGGGTGATTCTAATTGTATTTAATGAGAAGGGAACACTTTAGTTTTCAGTCTACAAAATTATGAAGCACAGCATAATCAAAATTCTACATGTACTTCTCTACTTTAAACAGATTGTTTAGTGATTACCTGAAAAGGGGGATTTATTATCCAGATTTGAAGTTCCAATGGTTGGGTCTCCTTCCTGCTTACATGACCAAACTCTGGGTGCTTGGCAAAATGGACATTTGCAGTGTCCCATGGTCATGTGACTGTTTTGTGATGGTTTTCCTAAAAACTAGCACTTCCATTTTTCAGCAAAACCACACCCACAGCGGACCACTTTGCTTTGCGATCACTGCATTCACTAAATGATGACCACAAAAAAGTCATAAAACTGACCCATTTTATGATTATGACATATATTTTAAAGTAATATTAATTTGGGTAATTTAATCTATTTTTTAAATTCTAAAATATGATTAAATATAATCTGAATATTTGATTTGGAATAAGAAATTATGAAAAATACATTAAGCTCTACATAGTTATTCAACAGGAAATCTAATAGGATTTATTAAGTGAGAACTAACTTGTAGCTTTTAAAATATTTTTAAAAAGGATGAATATTAAAGAATCTGAAAGCATACTAGAAACAAGCTGATGATTTGTTTTATATTCTGAAACCAATTTTTGAAATGATAATGCTATGAGCTAGCAAAGTTTAATCTTTCTAAAATTCTACAATTTTTATATGCTTAATATGAATCACAATTCCACTGATCTAAAACAGCCTTAAAATGTATATGTTGTTTTATGTCCCTGTGCATGCATGTTAGTTTTAATTTTCAATTACTCAGTTCTTCATGGCCAAAATTTCCACTAGTTTCTCCTTCTGAATAGTAAAAATTGGGATAACTATACACTTTAGCAATTGTGTTCTTTTTTAGATCACATATTAACAGGAAGCTGTAGAAACTAAAACTAAACTAAAATTTTAAATAAATGAAGAAATTATGAACCGAAGTATTTTAAAATGAGTGATGAGGCATTTAGAACATGTGTAGAGAATGGGTTTTGCCTATTGCCCATAAAATACACAAATACACAATTGGCTGTAATATGGGACACCATACTTTCCATGTACCTATATTTTAATGATACAAACTTTGTAAGAGTACATGGGAAATGCACACTGGATTCCTTTTCACCCTAATAGGTATATTTTCATGCTCAGAAAATAAGACTTTATTAATATTCCTAGGAATCTTCCATATGCAAATACTGAACTTCAAGTAAAAGGACTCAATTGGTGGGTTAAAAATAGACTGTTAAATATATATGAGAAAGATAAGATAGTAAATTCTTAATGAGTATGATCATTCAACATAAAATAATTTCCAAAAGCATTCTACAATGCTATCCATTCTATAACATTCAAAGGAATGTACAAAGTTCTAAGTTATCACACAGCCAATAGCATTATTGCGACTACTGGATCATACAAAAATTTATTGACACAAAGTTTTGAAAAAGACCAGTATTTTAAATAAAAAATCTTAATTTCAAATTCAACTTAATTTCAAACGGTATATGAGGTAGTCACATGAACTGATAATGTCAACATGTTGATTTGTAATTTGATCCGTCACTAGTTTAAATGGCAAGCAGAAAAAATATTTTTGTTTTTCCTCATTTACATTAGTATTATGTTGTGATAAATTAGAGGCCCAGGAGTCATCTCCATCTTTAACTAAAAGTGTACATCTTCTCAACATCTGAAGAGCAGTTGAAAACTGCCAAGAGTTTTTAGAAGATAATAAAAGAGAATATATCAGAGAAGGCAAAACAGAAAAAAAAGTTATTTGGAGTTGCTAATTTTGTTAAAAGCTCTTTTCATTATTTATTGTCTTTTATAATGAATGAATTCATGCAATTAAAAATATATATGACTGTGGTGAAACAACCTTTTGGAAATGAAATGGATGCTTTAGATCAGAAAATTTCAAAGTCAAAAGTAACAGTGAAAAACCATGAAAAAACAGTATCACCCAGTGTGAGAATTCTGATAAGCAATGTGCCATATATGTTGAAACAACACTGAAAGTAGATAATTGTTTTCAAAATGAATTGACCAATTTATAGGCCTACTTTGTAAAATGAATATGTTTTTAAACTTTCCTTAAAACATTGGGTGAGGGAAGTTTATATGTTTCTTTAGAGGCTAAGAGGTAAATGAAATATTTTCACTAGAGCTGGAAATACAAGCTGGAAATTGAATTTGCTGATTGCACTTGTTTTTATTTTCATCCAGCAACTCATGATTATCATGTGATAATCTGACTTTTAGCTTTATCATTAGCTACATGTTTTTGGACATGTAAATGGTTATGAAAATATCTGATTAACAATATAGTGAAAAGCTCAGCTTTAAAAATGTTGGCCGTGAGCCAATAGCAATGTATGTTTTCACACGAAAAATGAATTTCAAATATATATTTAACATGGCATTTCATCAACTGAAATGAACAACAGTTTAGGAACTAAAAGGTTTGGTAGCAAATACAGAAAACACCAGGCCTGAAGAAAGCTGATGAAAATGGTAACTTTCTTTGAAAAAAAATACATTTTCGGTACACTGCAAGATCAAGTTAGGCAATTATACAAATTTTAACAAAACTTAGAAAGCAAAAGCATGGCATCAAATCAAAACAAAGTTGGGTGAAAAGTATTAATGCATGCATATGTGCAAGCAACTGAAAATTAAACGTTAAAGCCATCATACTTTGTGGGGGAAGGCAATCAGTTTTACTCACATGTTCAGTAGTATCATCATATTCCCACTGATTGAGAGTAAAGAATGTTGGGAAGAAAAAACAGAAGAAATGAGGAGATATTTGTAGGCTACTGAAGCATCTTTATCCTTCTCAGGGTAACTACACATGAAAATTAACTAGCAAAATCAGCCTGAATTGAGGGGGGGGGAAAAACCTACGAATTTTGGATTATCTTTTGATGGTACATGAATAGTGGATGATATTTCTGAAAAAAACATACATCCTAATTTGAAGTGTTGTTAGTTTATAGCAATGTTTTATGATTGCAGTTAGTTGAAACTGTTGAGATATGATGAAAGGCTACATTTTAGTTAATCATATGCTACTAAGCCATGTTCATTTCTATTTTACCTTGTCAAATTTAATTTAGTGCACCAGTTTGTATTAATAGAGGCAATTTATATGTAGTTGATACTTCCTTTCAGTAATGGAACCATATGACCAACAGCACACCCTTCTCCTTCTATAATTTTTTTAAAAAAGGAGAGAAAAAACAGAATTTGAACTAGAGCCATAAAGGGCTGCATATTTTCCAAATGAGAAAATCTGTTCAAAGAACAGAGGTACAATATAATCATATTGTTCTCTTTCTAATTCCTGGAGATTCACAATGATCCAAAAGCATTAACAAGTTGTTCTAAACGTGCTAAAACATTGATATGAATAAGACTTACAAATATGTTAATTATTTAATACAGAAATTGGAGGGTGTTAAATCATGAAAAAAATGGTGCTGTTTTCAGTAAAGTCATTTTATTGAATTGGAGTTTAAAATATTACAGATGCCGTAAAGTCTTTCTATTTAAACAATGTAGTTCAACTCTAAATCATTTTAGGGTATAATATACGATAGTTACATATTACTACATTTCAAAACAGAATTAACCATGAATGAAAAAAGCTTTTTATACTTCATGGTTTATGATACCATCAGAATGATTTCAGGCTCCAAAGCTCATAAAACATATGTAATTAAAAATCTGTATTTTTAAAGCTTATTTAATATGGACAAATTTGTCTTATGGAAAAATAGGTTCTCTATGATTTGTTATATTCTGTAAGAAAGAATGCAGTGTAGTTTCATTTTATCAATATATCATCCTAGCCTTTTCTTTAATAAAAACAAAGCATCTCATATATTATTAGATCAACTATTCATTTCAAGCACAGTTCTATTTATTTTAAATATATCACTGAGTTCTACTATATTATTTTCAAACCCTTATCCAACCAAATTGATGTAATTCAATTCAATGAAGAAATTTAAGTGCACAATAAACTTCATTTATATATTAATATAATTTAAAATACTTAACATTACCTGGATAATACGCATTGAGATAGACATATAACTATAAAACAGAACCTATGCCCAAATCAAAATGAACTAAAAGATGGTTATTTTTCTGGCACAAAAGAAGAACAAATTAAATATGAAATAATGTCAATCTACTAATATACTGTATAGTTTAGAAAGTTTTGTATTTAATATTACACTGCCCTGATAATTGCAAAAATCGACCAGGAATGAACAAGGGAGCCTCCACTATGAGAAACATGTACTTTGATTTAAAAATAGCCTATGTTTCAGGTATGTTTTTCCTCCCATTACTACAACATATCCATGTTTAGAAATAGTATGTATACACAGAATAGTATGGTGGTAGCCTGATTATCTGGTTTTAGATGAAAGCATTCATATTTCTTTTAGCAATAATATACTAAGAAGAAAGAAAGCATTCAAGTTGTTAATAAAAAAAGAAAAAGTCATCATATGAATAGCTTGCTTTTCTTATCTAAATAAATTGAATGTAATTCATTACCTGTGCATCAGCCAACATGATATCCTTCAGCATAGGTTGGCCTCTAGGCTCTCCATTTTCCATCTTCACATAATGCACCTGGTAACCTCGGATTTGGCCATGCTGCTTATTGGGCACTGGAGAACGCCATGACACTTTAACAGATGTAGAGTTGACAGCCTCAACCTCGACTTTGCGAGGAGGACCACTAGGAACTGGAACATATCAGTGGATAAAAGAATTACAGGCACTTGTCCCAAATAATCAGTCTTTTTTTCTTTTTCTTTTCTTTTTAAAAGGAGACCCCACAAGCCTTTCTTGAAGAATATAAATGAAAACACTACAAAACTGTTCTACATTTCAGTGAAAAGATCAAAAAACATGACTGATGCAAAAATGGAAGAAAAAAGAGTATTAGAGAAATAGAAAAACATGTAAAAATGTACAAAAGCCAAGGAAGATGCTTTGAAAGTCAAAGCATTAAAGCACAAAGAAGTATTTTAGTAATCAAAATAATACAAAACTTAAAAGACTTTTAAAATGCATTATTATATTATTACTATTATTATTTCTTCAATGGGGAAAAAGGCAATAGCAAAGTGCAATTTGTCTTCAAAGTTCAAATATGAAAAATGTATTTCAAAATATTTTAAAAATTGAGAAGCATCAGTTTCCTCAAAGATACAAATATTTTATAATATGTGTAAAGACAGAGCAAAATCAGAAGGTTAAAAAAGAGGGAAAAGTCTAAAAAAAAATTCCATTTTTTTGTATAGAAAAAAAGAGGCCATGCACATTGGGGAAGCACTTTAAAGAGTTCTTTATGTTGTTCATAACATTTCTATTTTTTGCTTTTTGTTGTTGCTGCTTTTAAAAACACAAAAGCAGGAAATGGCATTTTGGATTTAAAACATCCGTTGAAATAGTTCTGGGGGAAAAAGATGAGCAAGGAAGGGAAGGAATACTTAGATCACACAAAGATAGCAGATTGAGAGAAAAAGTCAAACGGATGGGGTGGAAGAAACATACCATCTTCATCTGTCCGAATAAATACAGATTCACTCTCTGGGCCAGGTCCGACATCAGTGTGGGCTGCCACAGAAATGCGATATTCAGTCCATTTTTCCAACTGTTCCAAAAGGTACTGTGTAGTATCTGGAGTAATTTCCAAAATTTCATGGGGCTTGTCATCTTCTCCATCAGTTCCAGTGTACTTGATGGAATAGGAAGTGATAATTCCATTCTGTTTTTCCACTGGAGGAGGTTGCCAACTTACCAAAATACTAGTGGAGCTGGGGCTGTTGCAACTAATGTCTTGAGGAGGAGCTGATGGCTCTAATTTCAGTAGTGAGTTAAAGGAGGATTTGAGTGAGAGGAGAGAAGTGGTTGAAGAAAAAAATGAACAAAAAGAAAGAAAAATAAATAATAAAGGGCAAACCAAGGAAAAATAAAAATTAAATTTAGAAATAAAGTATTTAGACAGTCTTATGAGCCTTGGCTTATTAACATGAAACAACTGAAAATGAATTACGGTAACTAAAAAGTGGAAAAGGATGTTGGGGGAAATACATGAAAATGAGCCTCAATTTATTGTTACCTACCTGTGATTAATGATTCTTCTTGAAATAAAAACATCAAACATGATACTTCTATGTGTATATATACACCTATAATATTGCTTGTCTTATATGTTTAGTAGTCTTTCTTTCTTTTCTTTTTCTTCCTTCCCTTCTTTCCATCCCAATCCTTTCCTCCCTTATCCCCTTTGTTCCTTCCTTTCTTCCTTCCTTTCCACCAACTTACCCACTGACCAATCTTCCCTGTACTGTTCAATTCTGAAAAATCAACATAGAAGTACCTGTATTTTCCATTTTTCCTTTTTCTACCTACTCTGTATTTTAAATTAAAAAATATTTATTAAAACATAATTGTAGCCAATAAAATGTAAAACATGCAGAATCAGAAAGGAGTTTTCATTTGTCTTAGTCAAAGATTTACCTACCATGAAAAAGTGACATGGCTGTTGGATCTGACTGTAACTTGTACTTACCATAAATGAAGATACCGTTTAACATTTTAGCTCCTCTTGGAAAAACCTTGGCTAGCAAAGAATTGAAATCTACTCGCAATTTTACAATACATACACCACCCACTCAACCCACACACAATACAAAATTACTAGAACATAAAAAATTGGATTGGTTAAAAAAGGCAAAATAATTTAACTTCAACATTAATCCTTTTTACCAAAAACTCAAGTGACTATTTTTAAATAGTTACATTTAAAATAGAGCTTTAGTTTATTAGTGAAAAATTATTATTAAAAATTATAGGAAAGCCTTTATTAGATTACTTACATCCATTTTTATATATCACATTAAACTTGAAACTGATTCCTGGCCCCCAACATAATATTTAAAAGTCCCATTAATTTTTGTGTACATCCCATTTCTGTTTTATTGTTTAATGGACAAGAGCAAAGTAGAAATAGTTATTTGATGACAATTCATTATATGGATCTGGTAATTGTCAATAAAATGATTCTATGAAGTGGTTTATCCCTCAACTTAATTCTTCAAATTTTATTCCTCATGTTTTAGCACAGGGAGCACAATTGCCCTTTATTTCTGATTGGACAGAGTTGCAATGCTAATATCTGATTTCCTTATTTCCTAAAAAGGATGCATGAAATCCTTTTTTAAACCTTTGGAGCTACTTTTGTATGAAGCATATTTATTCTTTATTTGTGAAGAGGTTTATATGGAAAGAAGCAAATTTTTCAAAATTTGAACTAATGTTGCATCAGATGCCATGCTACAGGATATTAAATGTGTTATGAAATGAAACTATCCACTAGAGACTGATATACCCATTTTTAAAAACTATTTTTCTATAGATATTTATTTTTGCCTCCATTAAGTAACAAAGAATGTCCTTGTTTTCAGTGGTAGGCATTTTAAATTTCCTAGAAAATCGCAGAATAAGCTTCCTAAAGAAAAAAAAGGAGCAACTACTGCCAAAAACATTCTTAGACTAGCAATTTATTGATCTCTCTAAGGATTAAAAAAAAAATATCACCGGTAGAATGTATTTTTCTTTAGTCCTGCAATTACCCTTGGATGTTCCTGTTTGGAACTATGGAGCAAATCTGGGCATGGTACCATAGATAATGATGAACAAGAGGAAGGTGAGATGCTCTTATTTTCCATGCTTAGACTTCTTTTCAATGTAATAATGTAATAATCACACCTTCTGTGCTTGTTAACTAGAAGAAGTAAAGAAAAATTAAGGAATCAAGGAGAGGCACCTACTTGACTGCATTGTTCTAGCTGAAATTTCTGTTGTTGATGCACCAAGACCTTGTGGAGAACGTGCAGCCAAACGAAAGTAGTATAAGCTATTTGGTTTTAAGCCTTGCAAGTGATAAGATGTAGCTGGATCAATAGAAATTCTCTGCTGAATGGTAAATAACAAATAAAGGAAGAACAAATTAATACTAAGTTGTAATTCCAATAAAAAATTCTAATATTCAAGCATAAAATTAAGTGTTTTACAACAGAAACTGAACATTACTGAAATTACTATATGTAGCTCCATGGCTTGAGCTCCATGCCTCAAAATCATATTACTTGAAATCAGGGGTGGGATTCTACCAGTTCGTACCTATTCGCTAGAACCGGTTGTTAACATTTTAAGCAGTTCGGAGAACCAGTTGTTAGAAGAAATTATTGGCCTAATCCTGTAAGGAAGGCAGGAAGGAAACATTCTGGTGTTGCTTACAGAAACTGCCTCTGCGTTAACCCTTATTACATTCTTGGCAGGACTAGACTTCCTGTCTCTGGAACGTCTCTGGAGTTTTTTCCCTCCTTTGCTGGTACTTTGCTTGTGTGGAGTGACCATTCAAAGTTACAATGGCACTGAAAAAAGGGACTTATGACCATTTTTCACACTTACGACTGTTGCAGCATCCCCACAGTCATGAGAGGCCATGCAAGGAGATGTGTGCCTCGATGTGAGTGATATTGAGTTGGCCACGCCCAGCCAATAACATGACCACCAAGCCATGGCCACCCAGTCACATGGCCACCAAGCCATGCCCACCACCTAAGCTTCGCCCACAGAACTGGTTGTTAAAAAATTTGAATCCCACCCCTGCTTGAAATATGTTATTGTACTAAGACTAACCCCAGCAAAACTGCATGTGTCTGGCAGTAAAAGGCACCAACATGGATACATCTACATAACAACAACTTGCATAATGAAAAGTCCTAAATGAAGCAATCACTACATTTCTTCCATCTACAATTTATATGAACTAAGTCTCTTTCAACTAAGTCTAAGTTGTTATTAAGACATGAAGAAAGATTTTTCAAAATCAGTGCTCTGTTTCAAAACCTACTGTGAGTCACTTGTTCTGTAAATTGCACAAATGAATATACTTCTTAGAAGTAAATTTATATACACACACAAACAAACAGAAACACATACAGAGTTGGACTAATCCCTGCAATTTTCTTGGCAAGATACTGGACGTGGTTTTCTACTACCTTTTCCCTAGAGCAGAGAATGTGTGACTGCCCCAAAGGCATCCAAACAGCTTTATGGCTAAGGCGGGATTAGAACTCATGGTTTCCTGATTTGTGGCCACATGCTTTTAACTGCTACATCAAAATATATCTACATTTCTATATATTTTAATAGATTGACTTTCTGAATAAAATATATGGTATCAAATTTATATTAGGTAATGTTCTGAGAAAGTCTTCCATTCATGTCGTCTGCTTTTCTGTTTAACATCTATATGAAACCGCTGATGCCGCCAGTAGTTTGGGATGCAATATAATCAGTATGCAGATGATATCAAACAGTATATTTATCTTGAGGCCACTCAGATCAAGTTGTGTCTGAAGCCACTGGGATGGAAAGGAACCCTGCTAAATTCAAGTGGCTGTGGCCCACAAGATTTAGGAATTTGTCGCTTTTGGACTTGGATGGGTGATCAATGATAGTCACATCCCCATTTGAGACTTTGGGATTCTCCTTACAGTTCCTGCTTCAGAATCAGGTGATGGCTGTGACTAAAGTCTTTGCACAGGTTCATCTTCTGCCCTAGTTGTGGCCATTCCCGGAAAACGGGAGAACTTTCAAATGGTCATCCATGTCCTATTTTATGGCACATAGGCTGGTTGTTTCAAGAATTGACTTTCTCTGGTGGTTTTTGTTAGTCTAGTAAGATTATAGGAGTAGGGGCACTCTGGGTCTCCTGCATTAAACAGTCATTTAGTGGAACCCTGGATGCATGTGTACAATGTTGTAACACTTGCCCTTTGAAACAGCTCCCAACTGAATATTCACATGGTCACACCTTGTAAAAAATTTTTTTTTAAAATGTCCTTTGGACCCCCATATAGGTTTAGACTGTTTGTAAGTCCAGTTAATAAGTTTTAGTGTTCTCCCCCCAGCATAATTTGTTTTCCATGGGGAAGGTAATTCTTCTCTTTTCATTGTGTAACACATCCAGAGTCCTTTTGGAATATGACAGCTTTCTAAATAATGAATACCATGATCATTATCATCCATGTCTATGTCAGGATAAGGTATCAATATAATGCAATTCTGAACATACATCTAAATGTATATAAAAATATAAATCAATCAATTTATCACCATGGTATTTGCATTTGTTACACAAAATCCCCATTTAGTGACACAAATGGAATTTGAAACTCTGTCATTAATCAAAGCAATCAGCAAATGAAAAATCATGTGACTGTATTTATGATCTGACTTCAGCTTTCTTTTGATTTTTCAGACCTGTGAAGGCTGCAAATGCAGGGATTAGTTGCAAAGCTATTGTTTTATTTCTATTTAACTGCAAATTGTCATTGTCTGAGGCAACGAGGATGACCTGTATACAATATGATGCATAACATAACAAATTTACCAGCTATGTTACAGTTACCATTACATTTTATCACATATTTGGGGAAAATTTGCTGATAGTGCTGAGAAATAGTACCTATCAAACAATGCCATGATAGTATTCACACTACAGGCAGACAGTGGCAAACCACTTCTGAAAAACCTTGCCAACATACTGCGTGGACTTGTCCAGACAGTCTCTGAGAATGAAACAGCAATAGCACTTAGACTTATATACCACTTCACAGTGCTTTAAGACAGGGGTCGCCAACCTTTTGGACCTCAGGAACCACCAAACTCATAATTTTAAATTCTGCAGACCAGAGACCCTGGGAAAATCCCCCCAAAATCTGCAGGAAAATTCCCCACCCCGTTTTCCTACCGATCGATCATTCTTTATTTTGGATCGCAGGATACCGTCTCCAGCTCCATTCTCAGGGGGGAGAGAGATAGAGATAGAAAGAGACTTTTGGCTTCCTGCAAGGAAAGCAGCAGAAGGAGCTTGGGGGAGAGAAAGAAAGACTTTTGCTGCTTTCCTTGTGTGCAGCCAAAAGCAGAAGAAGAAAGAAGCAAATTCCCCCCTCTGCCCTTTCCCCTCTTCCCTCTCCCCTCACTACCTCGTGTTGTTCGCAATGCAAGGGACGCAAGCCTTGTGTTCCCACAGGTCATGTGGGCAGCACAGCCTTGTGTTCCTGCGCAGCCTGGATTAATTGCTTTGAGGTGACATTTCTCTGTGGACCATGAAAATTTTCTTGCAGACCACCAGTGGTCACCGACCCACTGGTTGACTACCACTGCTTTAAGAGGTTTACAGAGTCAGCATATTGCCCCCAACAATATGGGTCCTCATTTTACCCACCTCGGAAGAATGGAAGGCTGAGCCTGATGGGATTTGAACTGCCAAATTGCAGGCAGCCAACAGTCAGCAGAAGTAGCCTGCAGTGCCACTGAGACTCATATTCATATGATTGAACAGAAGAAAAAATAAAGCAGAGAGATCTATACTAAAAGTGTATTTTGTTGTTTTGAATTCAGGATGAAGAGAATGCTCGCCTACTATTATAACTGTGCAAATTTTAAAAGAATGCAATTGCAACGTAGAAGATCTTGCAATAGTTGCAAAATGTTTTCAAACATGAAAAATAACAGTTTATTTACCTCTTCACCATGTTCTCCATCCTTGTAAACAAGATCATAATTGGAGATTGTATCAGATCGTGGAGGGGTCCAAGAAAGTAAGATGCTTGTTTCAGATTCAGGTTCAGCTTTGAAGTTTAGTGGTTGTCCTGGGACTGAAACAAGAGCATATAAGAGCATTTACTTAAAAAAACCCAAAAGCCTTCAAGGACTCTACTTATATCTGTTTAATTTATATAGATTACACTTTTTAAATACCTCATCTCCTACAGTACACTTCATCACTGTGGTTTTCATGCTAGTTCTTTGTATTATCAAAGTATAATTACAGGTAGTCCTTGATTTAGGACTACAATTGATCCCAGAATTTCAGTTGTTAAGTGAAACATTTGTTAAGTGAGTTTTGCCCCATTTTGTGACCTTCCTTGCCACAGTTGTTAAGTGAATCACTGCAGTTGATAAGTTAATAACCTAGATGTTTAGTGAATCTGGCTTCCCCACTAATTTTGCTTGTCAGCAGGTCACAAAATTTGATTGCCTGACCTTGGAACACACCAACAGTTATAAATATCAACCAGTTCCCAAGCATCCAGATGTTGATCCCATGATCATAGGTATGCTGCAAAGGTCAGAAGTCACATTTTTCAGTACCGTTGTAACTTTGAACGACCACTAAATGAACTGTTGTAAGTTGAGGACTATCTGTATTTATCTGTTAAAATGGTTTGATATCTACCTATGCTGATGAGAGAATTGAGCAACTTGGAAATCCACACATCTTAAAGTTGCAGAGGCTGACAAAAACTTCTCTAGATCAGGGGGTTGCCAACCTTTTGGACCTCAGGGACCACCAAACTCATAATTTTAAATCCCAGGGACCACTAACCGGTTCTGTGGGTGTTGCCTAATTTGTGGGTGTGGCTTGGTGATCATGTGACTGGCTGGGCATGGCTTGTATGTAAATATTTATATAAATATTGCATTTTTTATTTAAAAAAGAGCAACCTTTACCCAAAATCAGGCAAAGCAGGCAAGCAGATTGAGTTGCTCACAGAATCACAAATTCATTCAGAAATCTATCTATCTGCCATCAGCTAGCTCAGTCTGTCACATAAAATTTGCTTGCAAGCAAACTCACAAAATTAAATCGCAACACACCATGTTTGTAAATATTGATTTTTTAAATAAAAAAGAGCAACTTTTACCCAAAATCAGGCAAAGCAGGCAGGCAGATTGAGTTGCTCACAGAATCATTCAGTGATCCATCTATCTGCCATCCTGAGTCTGTCACATAAAATTTGCTTGCCGTGAGTCTGCACTGAATAATAGAACCTTCAGCCCTAAGGGAGGTTCGGCTGTGCTTAAAAGCAGAGCCGAAGATTTAAAGACTAGCTACAAAGCAAGAAATCCAACAATTTCCTGCTTCCTAGCTAATCTAAATCTCCTGGCACAGCAGAACACCTGATGGTCGGAAAAAGGAAAAATACCAACTTGGCAGGCAAGTTTGCCGGGTAAGGAGTGAGTGGGTAGGGAGGGTTCCTGTGGGCCATGTGGGCAGCGCAGACTTGTGTTTTTGTGCAGGCTGGATTAATTGCTTTGTGGGGGTGCTCTGAGGGTGAGATTTCTCTGTGGCCCACCAAAATTTTCTCGCGGCCCACCAGTTGGCGACCACTGCTCTAGATGACACGAATAATAATCTATCAGCTTTCCAGCTATGTAAATTTTTACATGAGGTAATTGATGCCAAAAACTACTTGTGCTAGCTAGTGTGACCCAAATCATGGGTTAAAGAATGGTTTTCTGTTTTAATACCACCTTAATTGTGAACTTTTTTTTAATCTGCCAATCATTTCCTAGGAGCAGCCCATTGCTAATGTCTCTCCAGCAGTTTGAAAATGTAAAAAGTGTACAGTGGATTTTCGTAATGACAATAATTATGTACATTAAGACTTCATTTTGAAATGTGTTATTTTGCAAACCCCAAGAACCAAATGTATTTGCTTTAATTGTTAACCAAACCACAACACATTTTTACACTTCATATCTATATCCAGCAAAAAAAGCCGGAATATTTAACTTTTTTTTCTAGATCTTACAGCTAAGTAGATTTTAAAATTCATACAATAGTTGTTTTTGATACCAACACACCATTATATCACCAATTCAGTTTAAAATGATGTTACAAGAGTTGTTGTGCTTAAAGTAGTTGTTTTCAGTAGCAATTAGGAGAAATCAATTTTGGGACTGTGGCATGGTTGAGGGGAGTAACTTTCTTTTGCGCTATATTCCTGATTAGAATTGATCTTGCTGGCATAATTTTACTTGGGAAGGAAGCATTTACTGAATGAACACAGTAACTTTTTTCAGATCAGTTTTAGGTACTTTTTGTGAATGGAATTTATAAATGAGATAGATATAATTATGTAAACAAATTTCTTTACTCCCTGCTCCAGAGGTTCTTGTCCTATCCCCCCACCTGGAGGATAGGGACAAGAAGACAAAACCTATTCCACTAATATATTTTAATTCCCCAGATAGAATGGAATAAAGTATGTTTATTTCCTAAAACAAAATGGCTGTACACATGTATATATCTGCGTACTGTGGACATTCAAAAGATCAGCAGAGAAGTAATTTGTGCATTTAAAAGTAAAAAAAAAATATGAACAATAATAATACATTAATTGTTGAAAAAATGAAATAAAAAGAAATTCAAGCAGAAGCCAAAAATAAAACAAATTTGTTTTCTAGAACTAATTCATATAATGCAAAGTAACCAATCAGTTAGGGTCATCTGGGTTTAAAGTCCATCTGTTGTAACAATTATGGTGATGACTTGGGGAACTATGCAACCAAAGATTCAAAATAGGATTTCAGCTCAGGATAAGTTGAAAATTACAAACCAATATCTTTATGCTGAGTCACCTGTAAAGTCATGGAATCAATTATTAACCAATCCATTATCCTCCACTTAGAAACAAACAACCTACTCTCTAACAAACAATTTTGTTTCAGAAAAAAACTATCTTGTAATCTGCAACTCTTACACTGCAAAAATATATGGACTACACAACTCGATCAGGGCAAAGCAATTGACACAATTTACATAGACTTCTGTAAAGCCTTTGATTCAGTGGTACTCCTAAACTACTCCTAAAACTAAAATCTTACGGTATCTCTGGACACCTGCATAACTGGATAGAAGCATTCCTGTCAAACAGGCAACAAATGGTCAAAATTGGGAGTGTCCTATCAAATTCTGTACCTGTCAACAGTGGTGTCCCCCAAGGCAGTGTTCTAGGACCAACTCTCTTCATACTCTACATAAATGACCTCTGTGATTATATTAAGAGCAACTGTGCTCTTTTCGCTGATGATGTAAAACTATTCAACACCATCGATAATATTGCTACTCTTCAAAAAGACCTCGACTATGGTTAGAATGGTCAAACAAATGGCAACTTCAAATCTCAACAAATAAATGCTGTCTTACATATTGGCAAAAAAAAATAAATCAGAAAATAAAATACAAACTGAATAGCCAAGACCTTGTTGATGACCCAAACTTTATCAAGGACCTTGGAGTACTCATCTCAAATGATTTAAGCGCTAGAGCTCACTGTAACTACATAGCCAAAAAGGCATTAAGAGTTGTAAACCTAATCCTGTGTAGCTTTTTCTCTGGTAATATCACTCTACTAACTAGAGCATACAAAACATTTGCTTGACCCATACTTGAATACAGCTCATCGATCTGGAACCTGCATTACATAGCTGATATTAATACAATTGAGAAAGTCCAGAAATATTTCACAAGAAGAGTTCTCCACTCCTCTGCTCATAGCAGAATACCATATGCCACCAGATTTGAAATTTTAGAGTTAGAAAACCTAGAACTACGCCACCTTCAGTTCGATCTAAGTATAGTACATAAAATTATATATTGCAATGTCCTACCTGTCAATGAATACTTCAGCTTCAACCACAATAATACAAGAGCACACAATAGATACAAACTCAAGGTTAACTGCACCAAACTTGATTGCAGGAAATATGACTTCAGCAACAGTGGTCAATGTCTGGAATATTCTACCTGACTCTGTGGTTACTTCCCCAAACCCCAAAAAACTTTAACCTTAGACTGTCTACTATTGACCTCACCCCTTTCCTAAGAGGTCTGTAGGGGGCGTGCATAAGCGCACCAACGTGCCTACTGTCCCTGTCCTATTGTTTCATTCTTTTCTTATTCGTATTCATTTCATGTATTCATTACCATGTTTATACTTATACCTGTTATCTAATAATCACTTGACAAAATAAAAATAAATGAATAAATAAAGAAGAAAACATTAGAAAGAAATTTAAAGTGACTCCACCTTAATTGTCTTGTGCATAGAAGGGAGGAAAAAAAAATTCTGTCTGTTCTTTAATTGTTTATGTGGAATCTGTTTTCTACTTTTTGGGCTAATATCAATTTTGTTGGTAATGGCCACTGCATAGCTTCCCCAAGGTCATTTATTTATTTATTTATAAATTTATTTATTTATTGTATACATTTTTTATTTTTTCTTGTTTTTACAAACATATCATTGTGTGAACAGTATGGAACTGGAGTGTCTTACATTTTAAAACAAATACGACAATATTTTTCATATTTAATACAGTTGACAATCTTATCAAAAGAGGCACCCAAGGTCATTTCTGTGATCCCTTATGCAGTGGTGGGATTCAAAGAACAACTGGTTTGCCCAGGGTCAGGTTGGTATTGTGGGAAGTGTGACCCATCCCCATCTTCCAGCTCCACCACACATGCAGGACGAGCCTCTCACGATGGCCAACCTGACCCTGGGTGAACCGGTTGTTAAATTATACCCCCCGCTATCAAAGTGCATCCTGGGTGCTGCGCTGCAATAGAGAAACAGGCAATGGAGCAGCTAGCATGAGGGGAGGGGGAGGAGCAGGGAGAAGAAAGAGGGAGAGCGGACTTTTACTTCCCTTGCACCAGCCACTCCATTGCCTGTTTCTCCATTGCAGTGCAGCATAGTGCCCAGGATCCACTTTGATAGCGAGGAGGGATTAATTTATCAACCAGTTCAAATGAACCAGTGTGAACCGGCTGAATGCCACCACTGCCCTTATAGCTATAAAGGTGTTTAAGTTATAGACATCAACCAAGTTAACCAAATAACTTTAAAGTTCAGTAGAAATATATTTTGCCTACAATTTGGATATGGATTATTTTACCGTATTTTAAGCTTTTAATAGAATATCAGAATATATTAATACAATATTTTAGATTTATTAGATATCATTTGTATTTCATAGATGTCATGCCCCTGGTGGAGACTGACTCTGAGGAAAAGGAGGAACAGCCAACAGGGAGTGGGAGTGTGGCTCTAGAGGTGGTGGAGGAGGCTGGGGAAGGGCAGAGGCCAGCTGAGCAATCAGAGGAGGATCCAGGCCCATCCCCTATCCATCCTAGGTCACACAGGGAGGAAAGGATCAGGGAAAAGCGAGGTCTACTCAGGAGGAGATTACCATGGTCCTCCTCATGGATTGCAGCTGGGAGCTATGTATATAAGTTTGTAACTGCGTGGCCGGAATTGCTGGAGTCAAAGTTTAATGTTTTCTTTGAAAGAGATTTATCATGATAGTCTGGCAGCAGGACACTTTGTGGTGTTTAAAACACTGTACCTCATCTCTAGGACATTTTGGTGGCTGAGACTTAAACGTGATGTGTTGGGATATGTGGTGTCCTGTGGAATCTGTCGCCAAGCCAAGTATGCTCCTGGTGAGCCCCCTGCTCTCTTGCAGCCCTTGCCCACGCCAGAATAACTGTGGGGGGCAGTTTCATTGGATTTCATCGTTGAGTTACCACCATCAAGTGCCACAACCATTTTGGTGGTGGTGGATATGTTGACTAAAATGGCCCACTTTATTCCATGTGCAGGTCTTCCATCGGCCAAGATAATGGCTCAATTGTTTATCTTCCATGTTTTCCAGTTGCATGGGTTACCAGACTGCATGGTATCAGATCGGGGGGTACAATTTACGGCACGCAGACTCTACTCGCGAAACTGCAGGTTCAGTCGTGTCTGTCATCTGCTCATCACCCCGAAACTGCTGGGGGGACAGAGAGAGTGAATGCTATTTTGGAGCAGTACCTCCGCTGTTTCAGCAATACTCAACAAGACAATTGGGTGGAAGTGCTGCCGGTGGCAGAATTTGCTTATAACAATGCTCAACATGCATCCACCCGTGTGTCCCCTTTCTTTGCTAACTATGGGTTTCATCCACAACTTTTCCCTATAGCCCCGTCTGATTCCCCAGTTCCGGCAGTGGATATGTTCTTGCAGGAGTTAAAAGCCGTGTACCACATGGTCTGCGATCAACTAGAGACAGCCAAGGAGTACTATAGATGGTTTGCAGACCAACATCGTCGTGATGTTCTGCCTTTAGTGGTAGGCGATCGGGTTTGGCTCTCTACTCGATACTTACCAACGACACGACCATCAAAAAAGCTCGATCACCATTACTTGGGATCTTTTCCGGTCGAGGCACTGATCAATCCTGTGGCTTATCGTCTCTCCCTGCCACGGACCATGTGTATCCATCCTGTTTTTCATTGTTCCCTGTTAGTCCCTGCCTTGGCCGACAGTCCACATAGACTGACTCCATCACAGCCGGCCCCAGTAGCCCCTCTGGGAGAGGAGGAATAGAAGTGGATAGCATCCGAGATTCACGCCAGTTGCGAGGCCGATTTCAGTATTTGGTGGCATGGAAAGGTAATGGACCAGAGGACTTCACCTGGGTCGATGCCACTGATGTTCATGCTCCTTGTTTGGTCCAGGACTTTCTTGCTCGGTTTCCTCAACGTCCTCGTCCGCCTGGTCCTGGGGGAGGGGGCCCTGTGGGGGGGATAGTGTCATGCCCCTGGTGGAGACTGACTCTGAGGAAGAGAAGGAACAGCCAACAGGGAGTGGGAGTGTGGCTCCAGAGGTGGTGGAGGAGGCTGGGGAAGGGCAGAGGCCGGCTGAGCAATCAGAGGAGGATCCAGGCCCATTCCTATCCATCCTAGGTCACGCAGGGTGGAGAGGATCAGGGAAAAGCGAGGTCTACTCAGGAGGAGATTACCATGATCCTCCTCGTGGCTTGCAGCTGGGAGCTATCTATATAAGTTTGTAACTGCGTAGGGAGAATTGCTGGAGTCAAAGTTTAGTGTTTTCTTTGAAAGAGGTTTATCTTTGCTGGCATTCTTCCCATGGACTCTCCTCGGTTATCTTCCTGGAATGTATGATCTTGGCTTGCTTCGGAACTCTCATCAATGCGGTTTGTTTTGGTTTGTTTTTTTTCCTCATTATTTACTTTTGTGACTTTAAACTGTGCCTAATAAAACAGTGAAGTTAAGTTGAAGACATTACTGGACTTTAAGGTATGTTTTGGGTTTTGGGTTATTTTGAGAGACTACAGGTCATCACAATAGCTAATTTGGGGTTTTTTATTATCTATACCATCTATTTTAAATATTGTTTTAAACTTAGATCTTAGAATAACTTTATTGTTAGTTTGAATGTACACAAATGTACATTAAAATGAAATTTCATTGCATACAACTCTCACAGGGTCTCCACCTTTATATATAAAGATATAAATATATAACAAGCAAAAAAAATGAAAGAAATTGATGAAAAGATCAGTAAACAAAGTTACAAAAATTGTAATTGGTCTCAGTATATCACTAATGCAAACACCTTTTAAAAAGCCTTTTAGAATATTATATAGAAAATAAATTATTTTTAACAATTATAAAAAGTATTTTAAAGATTATTTTTTTAAATTCTGAAGGAACTGCCAGTCTCTACTACTGTTATTAAATAATAAGATAAAAAGGACTAGAAATACTAAATTATTATAGGTAAATATTTTCTAACTTTCACTTTGCTATACTCATGTTGATATATAATATTTATGAACAATTAACATGTTCATATATTTCTGATTTAAGTTCTTTGGTCAATTCTTTCCCCCCTTAAAAATCACATACTAAATGCTAAATTTACTTTGCTAAATAATATGAACTATATTCTTGCTTAAATTTGGTCAAACTTCACTTAGGAACTTATGTTATTTTTTTCATTACCGAATATTCTCCAAACCTAGGTTCCTAATTTGATATAATCAATAACATCTTTCTTTTTCAATAATGTGATAAATTTTGTGAACATGTCTCTTAGTAAATGTCTTAATTGTAGTATTTTTCATTGAGATGTCTTGGCATTATGCCTAATTTGAATTTGAATTGTAGCTTCATTTCAAAATTTGAATTTTAACACTTTTTAAATAATGCCATGTATTTTTCCCCCATATTTTTTTGGCGGGGGGAGTGTTTTGCTTTAAAAAAAAAAATCTGCTGCACATGGTAAAATGGCCTCATGGCATTTCCAGCATTTGTTACTATATGATTTATCTGTCTTGACAATCACTATATTCTACCTAAATTATAAGAAACTCCTCAGACTGCTTACCTTTCCTTGAGAATGACCAGATAAGACTTCATCTTGGAAGAGATCAAGCTTACAAGCTGTTTTCATTTATGCAACAACTCCAAGCTGGGTCCCTACTTGATCCTTTCTTGCAGCCAAGCTGACAGCTTTCCAGCATAACCGTCTTTAATCATATTGTCTAGAACAATTCTCAACCCATAGCAAAATGTATTGGAAAAAGATTACTATAAATTCCATCTTACCTCCTGTCTGAGTGATGACTTGTATATCACTAGAAAGTGGTCCATCTCCAACTGAGGTAAAAGCAAGTACTTTTACTGAATAAGTTTTCTGTGGTACAAGATTCCCAATGGTGGTGATATGGCTATCAGCCACATTATGTTTTAACCAGCTGTTGACATGTTGTGAAGGATCCATAGTGTAATACACTCTGTAGCCTTGTATTTGACCATTTGGTTCCTCAGGTTCTTCCCACTGCACTAAAATGGTGGTTGAGCTCAACATACGAGCTTGTACATTACGTGGTGCACTAGATGGTGCTTGCTCTGAGGTCCGTGTTGTCACAGGTTCACTGGGTGGACCCCTTCCTATGTTATTCACAGCAACCACTCTGAACTCATATTCAGAATATGGGCTTAAGCCAGCCACACTATATCTTGTTGTGGCTACTCCATCAATTTCTTTATATAGTTCCTCAGAATTCTTAGGTTTATGCTGGATTATGTAGTAAGACACTGGCTCAGGATTTCCAGAATCCCAGGTCAAAGTAATGCTTGTTGCTGTGCTTTCGGTCACAACAGGAGTTCCTGGAGGTTTGGGCAATGCTAGAAAAATATAATAACATTTATTCAACCAGAAAAAAATATATAGAAGAATATAGAACTGTAGAAGAGAAGCATAAAAATAACTAAGGGAATCCATATTTATTTGGAGAACAGAAAATATCTATTAAAATATATAAGAAAAATATGTATTTCTTTTTTGCGTAATTTTTATGCCACCCATATCACTCTGCAAATGATAAGCCTTAAAATATTAAGTGTTTATTCAATATCTGTCAGAAAGAAAAATTATTTTAAAAGCATTAAACTTTTCTAATCTTAAACACAAGTCTAAATGTCTAAAGTCTAAAAACAGACATCATATACTGAATTTTATAGGAGAGGGGCATATCATACAGAAGAAGAAAGAAGGGCATCAGAGAAGAGGAGGGAGTAGAACGAAGTCAATTTTTAATTTAGTTACATTTAGTTCCTACCCAAATAAATAAACAACTTAGATCAGAATTAAAATGTGCCATTAATTTCAATGGATATTAACTACAATTATTGAAAATAAAAAATCCTTTCAGAATATCTTACTGTTTCAAAGAATGCATAGTTCTGACTGTGAATATATGTCTCAGTTGTAGGAAAAGCCTCTAAAACTAGATAAGGAGAATCCCAACAAGTTTATGAGACAGAAAAATCTTCAAAACCCCACATGAATGAAGACATCTACATATTAATAGTCAAAATATTTATTCCTGGTATTTCTGCTATCTTGGAATGTTTTCAATCCTGACTTATGTCTTAGCTCTTGTTTTTCCTAGATTCTCATTATGTAATTTCCACACTTCGGACATTGAGCACTGATTTGTTTTATATATCAAATAAGTTTACAATAATTATAATACTTTATGTTTATTTATAATATTTATAAAAAGTAAAATGCAAAGGATAAAACACAGGGGAAAAATAAAATCGAATAAATATAAATCAATACATTCAACAAACTTCAACCAACAATTAAAGGTCTGTTGAAAATATGGCATGTTTCCTAAATAATGTTGTTTCCCTAAATAATGCAAAAATGTATTAAAACTATAACACTACACTGAACTGTGCATTCCACAACCTTGTGGCCACATAGGAGAAGAGCAACCATGTATTGGATATGAGCTTTTGGCAATTGGGGGCAGTGGTAATCTTTACAGACAAGGTCGATTGGATTCACTTTGAGTTAAAATCCAGTTTTAGGCAAGTAATCTTGGAAACGGCTTTCTTCTCAAATGGATCTTTTTATTTTCAGTTTGTTCATCAAGAGGAAGTGAACAGGATATTGCGGAGATGAGATTCACCACTTGTTTATATTTGACCTTGGCTCTCCAAGCCATGTCAAGACTGATCCCATGTTTATGAATACCTGCTTAAGTCAGGGCTGCAATCCTTCTTGATTAAAGGAGGCAGTCCTGATAAAAAGCCTTCATGGGATCCAGAAGGTCATTGTGATAACCATTTGCAATCTTCTATTTCTAAATAAGGCGACTAAAAAATGGTAGTCTTGCAACTGCAGACACCCTATATCAGCAAGAAACTGATTATTCGGACCTGTTTCAAACAGGGCTTGGCCTAGGCATGTTGAGGGTCTGTCTGGGCAGGTTCACAGAGGAAAGGCTCTCAACATACTGAGGAAAGACTCTAATATATATATATATATGGCATTCAGCTTCGTTCGGGTATTTTCCCACGTCATAGTAGTGGTGCTTTTAAAGTTGTAGCAACGTTTCAGCAGAATCTCATCTGCCATCATCAGGCTTTGTATAGTGTTCGTCTGTGAGTTAGACTTTTACAGTGGTTTCAGATTTAAATTTGGGGCAGCCTATTGCTGTGCCAGAATGGTTTTTTCTTCATCCTGATTGGTTGAGAGTCTTGGTCTGTGTTTATTGGTCTTGGAGTTTGCTGTGTTCTGCTTCTAATATCTTCTGCCTGTTTTTTTGGCTCTTTTTGTATCTTGATTGGCTGGCAACATTGTGTTACTTTATTGGAGGCCTTTAGTGCAGCTT